TCACATTGTGAACGTAGAACATTGCAATGCGTTTGATTTCACTCTCTCATACAGAATTTCAATAAAAGTAAGTTCATTCTCATCCGACCATGTCATTGGTTCCTTATTCCTAACTCTGTGACCACCCATGTTCAATATTCAATATAAATCAAATCATCAAGTGTATAACTCCTTCCATAGGCACATGTTAATCCTAATTCAACTCCAAGTAAAAATGAAAATATCCAATCGCTAACTAAAAGATAAAGGTACTGAAAAATATAAGGGAATCACTTATATAAGCAAGTAATAAATTCAAATTACATAGAAACATGACTGTAGCGACAATTTTGGATGCACAAGTGATTTTATATAAGGAACACTAATTGCTATGAAACATGTCATTTACATGTTTCTTTTAACCATTTTCAACAAGTGTTATCCCTCCATTATACCACCCTACAAACTGCTCAGTATTAATTGTTATTCCAATATGGTTATAGATGCTTGCAATTGTTGTTTATTTAAAATTCTATCTTCATCCAAATTCTAAAACATAAAGTCATATAAATAGCTTCACATAATTGAGCACAATGGGAAACGGAAGACCCCCAGTTGAAGCAAAAGGGTATTAAAAGCATTGTTATAACTAACACCTTATCTTAGTTTGGCAGGACAATTTGAATTAAATTTGTTTTGACCATAATTCAATGGCATAGACTCTTCTAATTATTTGACAAAAATCTAAATTCTTCATTAAGAAGCATATTGGTTGGGTTTGTTGTTCTCACTATAAGAATTTTTCATATCTACCATTTCAAACATAGTTTAAGAAATAGATTTGATTATTGAAATTGGTATTGTGGTCTATTTTTAAACTTTAAAAATCAGTTTTGACCCTTTACCATTGTGAGTTTATTATAAGCTTCAAACTCTTCACAAGAACGACAAATACTTTCACCTCCACCTCTGCCTAACCAACTAGCTAGCTCACCGTCCCCACCTGCGTATAATTCTCCAGCGAGCTCACCACCTCCACTATCTAGTGCCCCCGCAAGTTCACCACCATCACCATCAACCAAGTCACTGATAAAGTCACCTCCATCGCCATCATCTGTACCCTCTACTGGGCAACCTATGCCACCAAATAACAATCCACCGCCAAGTCCTCCTCCACCAACACAATCATTAGAAATTCTATCTCTATCTCCATCTCCATCTACCCTTTCCCCTGCGAATTCACCACCCCCATAATTATCCAAGCTGCCTTAGAAATTATGCTTCCACATCACGAATCAAATTATTTTATACCCAACAAATTAAAAAATCAAAGGCGAAACCTGATTGAAGTCAACAAGATATAGAATAACAAGCAAAGAACCAAAGAATATAGCGAGCAAAGAACCAGATGCAACACAAGATTACCTGCAGATTTGGCAACCTAATCAATATAGAAACCTGTTTGAAAGAGCCAGTAGATTACCCGTAGATTTGGCAACACGAGCTCAAATAAATTTTGGATTATAGGTACCTGAGATCGAAAATGGAAAACTAGTGTGAGCCCTATGTTATGAGAGACGGGAAAGAAAGGATAAGGTAGAGTCAAGTCGTTTCCCATGTTTTCAAAAAATAACCGTGTTTTAGCTTCAAATTTCCCAAAACGTGCTTTTGGATGTTTTTAGTTTCCAGTTCAATTTTTTTTTTTTAATTTTCAAAAACGCGTTTTCGAAAATAGGAAAGAGAAACTGTTTTCACTGTTATGAAAAATCGAAAACAGAAAACAGCTTGAAAACGGTAAAGAGAACATACCCTTATTTTCTTCCAAGAAGTAGATTCAAAATTAAGATAAAGAATGACAAATATGAAAATAAGAGCTTCTGATCATAAAATTTGTGAAAAATATTGCTTTAATTTTTTAAACTTTTCCATCCACAAATTGAAACTCAATATGCATTGTTGAGTTCGATCAGTAACCTAGCCACACCCCAACCACACACTGCCCAATAATTCAGTTTGCTGATAGAATTTAGAGAGAATGCCGAAGAAAAACAAAAATGCTGGTTGTACAGGAGAAGTTGACAGTGCGGATGACTGAATTTCGAAAAAAGCTGATCTGGCATCCACTCGCGGGAACTGGGAATTGCTACTGAATAAAGAAAGAAAACAATTGTTGTTTAGGGATCCACATGTATATTTTGTTCTTTTCCAAATGACCCACGTGTATTCCATTTGCTCTATCCTCCCAAAATTCAACACCTTAGCATTTTCACCAAATGAAGAAACCCTCAGAACCTGCGACAAATTTCAACTAATCCATCTTCCATTGGAGATTCAAAGAGCGTGAAACATCATCTTTTGTTTTATTCTATCATCACTCAAGCCTCACTTGTCCAGCCCATCAACTCCAGCTTCGTGTAAACTGCCCAAATCACAACATGTCCATCTTCTTTTAGCTCAACCTTCACTCGAGGTTCGTCTAAACATGAATGTCCGTCCATTTTCAGTCTAGCTTCGAGCGTCGTCTATAACCCAACCCATTATACAGGTTCAGTACATTGTTCAAATTTT